ATCTATACGATGAATTAAATTGAGGATAAGTGCAACTGTCAACTGACGCCGACTGCTTTTCGTGAATATTCATTTGCATCGTGAAAGGATCGTTAAACTTCGCAATTGGGTTTATAAAATGGAATTGTATAGATACCCTTCGCGTTTCCAAAGAAAATCTATCATTATATTGTAATCGATCGTTTATACAATGGTTGAACGTTTCAATTTAATTTACGTTTTTGTAATTTTCTTTTGCATTTGGTCCTCTCTGATCGTTAGACCGATAAAATGAAATATTTGAATTTATGATCACCTTTGCACGGAGTACTTAAATTTCTCTTATCTTGTTGATAAGAAGACTTTTCGTTATTGAATCGTTGTCATTTAAATCTTAAGATTTTTTTAGTAATTTTTTAAATAATTCTTCAATCTGTCTTTTGCTCAACGTGAACAGACGAACAACACGTGTGAAGCTTCTATGATTATTTTGTATTATCAAACTTAATTAATCCTTCGTGATATAAATACGAACTCCTTTGGAATAGCAATTATGAAAAATATATTACAATTATTGCAAAAGTGGATATAGTGACTGAATATATATAGAAAATTCAATTTATTTTAATTAACGAAGTTTTAGCGTGTTTTAACCGCAATTAAAAGTAAATAACGAAATAAATTAGAACATAACAAAACAGTGTCGGTGGCTGTTCTTTCGTCTGACTCGCGGCTCGATAAAATGCATATATCTGCGCACACAGATGCAATTTATATATAAATTTACAATACCGTTAAAATTATTGAAAATATTCGTTTCGCGATATGTACCGGTTTTCGTTCTATGTAATGCGTTTGATAACCATTTGTTGTTACATTTCGTAAAAGTTAGAAATTTTGTAAACTGTTGAACAAAATTGACATCTTGTATCAGGAATGCATGAGCTTCGAAGAGGTATTCTTTATTTTGCACAAAAACGGACTTCGTAACCGCGCGATTTTAGCTACCTTTCACTCGCGTATTAAAATCTCGAGGTACATAGATTTTCGCGTTCATGGAATGCTTTAACGTTCTAATAATATCAAATAATTATAAAGAACATTAAAACGCTCTGTTTTATATTTAAATTAATTTTTATGTAAAGTAAAAATATAAGCAGTAAAAGATTGCATGAGAAGTAAATAGAATATAATAATCATTTAATTTGATCTATAGTTAATATTATAGATTTATAATTAAGTGCAGTTTATCTGATTAGTGGGACACGTGGTGCTAGTTTGATATTAGTCACGTGTATAATCACGTGTTCATGAAGCATAATATAATTTACATGTAAAGTACAAAATTTGACATGAATGAGGACAACGAATCGAATTTACGAAAGCTTTTCATAGAATCATTAGAGAACGATAATGTTTTTATAATAGCAACAACAGTAGATACAGGTAGCTAAATGTTCCCTAATTAATAAGATTAAAGGCACGTGGTTACTTAGAGTAACCTATAAATCGTCTAATTTTAGGTTTCGAATGGCAAGCAGTGGATGAATGCAAAGAGAAATTAGATAAAAATGTTAAGGTTGTTAAGGAACGCGGCAAGATTTATTTTAACGTATACTGGAGTCAATTCGCACAAGTAATATTATTTTTTGTTTATTTTAGAGCTGACGTTTTTAATATGTAAATTTATTTCTGTGAAGTAAAATTATTATTGTACAGAAAGCGAATTAATAATATTATTTTATTTGAGTTGTAATTTTAGGTACAAGAGATGAGATCAATAGACAATGTTTATATTGTCGCAGATGTTAGAAAATTTGAATTCTCAGGAAACAGTAAAGAAGCTGATTTACAATTATTTAAAGATGCTGTGCATAATGATATGAAATTAGAAAAAGCTTTGAACGCTTGGAAAAGTATTACTGGTTTTCAAGGGAAAATATATCCAACTACTGATGAATATAATATAGCAGAAAAAGATCGTAAACTTTGTAACATAACTGTTACGCCAATCACAGTTAAAGGAAGAAAAAGAGGGCAAGATCCATCTGACACTAAGGAAGATGAAATATTAAGATATAGAGTAACGTGTGAAAGAACTGGAAAACATACATTTGAATCGGCAGAGGTTGCCAGAGCTATTGGAGGAGAATTGCAAGATAAATATCTGTGGCTTGTGGATCTATCGACATATTATTTAGAAGTAGTTTGTAAAGTAATTGACAGTAAGTGCAATAAATTAATATGTGGTTGTTTTTTATTGTAGAGGATAATATGTATTATATCGTGAATAGATGAATTGATAACACAGTTACGTATTACACATGAATCTAAGCATCATAGGAATATCATGTGTTTTGGACCAACTACTCTTAGAGCAACTGTATGTTATAATTTGTTAAGATTAGCTCATCCTAATCCAGGAGACATAATAATTGACCCAATGTGTGGTAGTGGTTCCATCCCAATTGAGGTAATACAGATACATTTGTATTTCAATATAATGTAATATATTATGTTAAAGATAAAAATTATTAATATTGAAAATTACAGGCAGCTTTAGTATATTCCCAATCTTATATTATTGGAGGGGACAATCATCCAAAAGCTGTACATAACACAAAATCTAACATAGAGGCATCTTCCTCTGAATGTAAAATTGACTTACTACATTGGAATGTTTCACAATTACCTTTTAAAGATTCCTTCGTTGATATTATTGTTACAGATATGGTATTAGATGAAGTATTTAAATATTATAACATTTTTATTATGCGTTACCCTATTTATTTATTTTATCAAATAATCCTTATAGCCATTTGGTAAAAGGAGTGGACGAATGATGGACAATAGAATACTTTATAAGCAATTCTTGATAGAGTTAGGACGAATTATGAAACCCTTAAGAGGTCGGAGTGTTTTACTCACTTACGACAGGCGCAGTCTTAGTATGGTACGCTATTAAAATTTTGAAATCAGATTTTTGTAGAATTATGATTGAGGTTGTTTTCTTTGTTACAGGCTTTACAAGCAGCTGGAGATTTGTTCTATGTAACAAAAACCTTGGGTGTAAATATAGGTGGTCTCCAAGCTGCAGTTTATGTCTTAAAACGAACAGATATACCCTATGAACAATTTAAACCGAAAGCTATTAAACACATGATGCGCAAAAAGAAATAAGGTATTCTTATTAACTCGTGTTAAAAGATAAATTTAAATATCTGTATTTTATATCTACAAGTTCACATTTTGTAAAAGTTTAATAAAAGGAAATTTTTATATTTCTTATAAAAGAGCTTTTATTTAGTTTATTAAATAAACTTTATAAGAAGAATTTTCTTCTGCTCGTTTCCATATCATGTCTTTTTCCTTGTATAATCCATTCGTATTCTCCATATTTGCTGTCAAATGTTCCATGTTGCAGTGACTGCAATTTTAGGGTAAATCGAGGTCCTAACTCTCTCAATCTGGGTTTATTCCTTTCCATGTCAAATTGATATCTGTAATATCACTTGCGTAATTGTACGTGTATTAAGCATTCTACCTCAATAAAGACTAAATTATTATACCTATGATGCCTGAAAAATATATAGTCTCTTTGATTATGGAATGTTACCACTCTCCTGCCCTTAAATTCAGGTTCATAATGAAACAGTGCCCCTAACATTCTACCAATTGTACAACCTAAGCGAGTAGTGAAATTATTTAAAATAACTTCTGGTCTATGTTCAGAAATTTCTTTGTGACTACGTTTTAAATCTACTGTTAATTTAACATTGCTAAGTTTAAAATGTGCTGTTGGACCATCAGGTAAATGAATAACTAACAAACCATCTAAGAAACCTTATAAGGAAAACATTAAATATACAAATAATATAAAATTGTTCTAAATAATTCAGTTACAGATGTATACAAAGGATACTTGGTTTACACTGATCTTCATTAACAATTACAATATCAGTGAAATTCTTCGCTATAGCACTTTTTACCATCTTTTTTACTCCAGAACGGTTTCTATATAAAGAGATAGAATTCGGTATTATTCTTGTTAATTCTCTGCCAAAAATTCTGGTTTTTCTTGTCGGATTGTCACAAAAGCTAATCAAAACTTTAGGTTCGTAAGCATGCTTATAAAAAGGAGCAAATTCATCATGTTCAAAATCAACTTTAAGCTCTGCATTCTCTTCATCATCAATATCACCAGAAACAGTAGTTTCATCTTTCTCCCTTAAGCTCTCAAGAGTATGTGGTACTTGTTTTGGACCACCTTCTTGAATTCTTTTCTTCTTGGCTTCTTTTTTGGCCTTTGCTTTCTCTTTCATTAACTTCAGACATTTTTGATGTCGAACTGCCTTGCATTTTATGTGATTAAAGTTGCTGTCAGATGGCAAAATAACCTCTGATGTTTTGTGTTCTGAAGTACTTGGTTCTCCTTCCTCTTTCCCTCGTTGAACTCGACTCAAAGGATTTATTCGTAAATTTTTGAGCTTCATTTTCATAAATTATTTGTTTTATTTTGATATAAAGTTATTACTTAGTACCATGTATAACCAAATATCTTACACGTAAATACTACTCGATAGTCAGGTTATAATAGGTTACCATTTACTATCTAGTTGCAGTTCATTGCCGCCAATCTTCAAATATCACTCGACGAAAATTTCGGATATACAATTATCTTTATTTCGCATTAAAAAATTTAAATATGTATATATATACATATATATATATGTATACACCTATATATACGTTTTATCTTAACATAAAAAATATTTTTGATCATTCTTATAGATTATTTAATTTATGTACAAGATATCAAAAAATTATTTGTCATGGTTTTGGAAGGTGACTACATTTTCGGGTCGGTGGAGATCTGTTAAAAAAGTGAACCGCAAAATTGATCTGATTTTCAAGGTTAAATTCTTTTTTTATTGCATCACGAAGAACGAAAATCACATAGGAACCACGGATCACAACTTAACCATTTGTCTGAAAAAAATGTGAAAATTCCATTAGTTTTCAACAACCAACAGATATTCACTTTTCCAAAGGTAAAAAAATCACCTCCAAAAACTATGACAAATAATTTTTTGACATTCTGTATATGTAAGTGTAATATTAGGATAAAATTTTTTATACATAGAATTCGGCTAAAGTTTAACTGTACAGCTTATTGAAATAGGTTTAAAATGTTATTTCTTATACACAAATATTAAATGTTATACTTGGAAATTATTATAAACATGTGTATAATAAAACACTTCATGGGAATGAATCCTGTTTTTGAATACCCCTTTGACATTATAATGTTCTAGTTAAAAGAATTTCACTGTTACCCATAATATGAAAAAGACAAATACAGAAAACAACATTAAATATAAGATGTAGTAAGTATGACTTCCTTTAGATAAACGTAATACACGTGCAACTGCGTTTGTTAATGAACCACTTGTCCTTTCAACATCTTCATCCTGATAACAAAAAGTTTCTTCTATATACTTCTATTTTCTATATATACTCAGTAGATTTTTATCTACACTAATGTGTTATTCACCATTCCACGGAGCATTTTATCCTGATATTCCACTTCATTTCCAATGTCAATCGACAGTGACTTTAGGGCATGAATTTTGTCTTTCAAATGATCTGTCATTCTTTCATTCTCATCTTCCAACTCTGCATTGTTCGATGTAGTTGGTAATGGTTCATAGGCATAATCTATCATAAAATACAAATCATATTAAGTTATAACAATTAAACATTATATTGAACTTTGAACATAGGTTAACCTACTTGAATGAGTCCTTCGCATTTTATTCTCAATTTTGGCAGTTAATTAATGTACTTTTGCAGGAAAAAATTATAGTGAATCTAAACAATAAACGTGTCACAAAATATTAATACAGTAAGACATAAATTAAACAAACAACTGATATTTTAATTATAAATATTACTTAATATTTGTAAAATATCTATCGTTTCTTTTATTACAACTTTTTCCTATTTTTAAATAATTTGATAAAATATTGAAACACACATAAACATGAGTTTTACGTTGAAATTTGTATTTTTAATTCACATAAAGTTTGAATTAGAAATTAACATGTCATATGCAATATTACAACAAATTGCTTGTTTTAATTTATATTATATATCCACGAAATTGATAAAAATATTTAAACTGTTTTCATACATATTGATTATGTTAAAACACAATTACAAACCATGCGAAAAGAACTGTCAAGGAAGCGATCAAATAATGTACGTTATACACATATGTATACGTTAAACGTAGTGAGTGGTGATGTATGTACATATGACGTATATATGTCAACGTCACGTTACGGTCATGATCATGATATGTAATCAGCACTGATCATCATTATCAATCAGGGTTGCCAACTTCGAAGTTCGAAACTTTAACCTACTTTAACTAGGATTTCAAATATGATGTAAAGTGTTCAAACTATTAACAATCAAATATATATGATTGTATTATTTAAAATTACGGTTTTGAAATAAATAATGTTGGGATCAATGTATAGTTTTTATGAGAATATATTTCTATTTGAAAAAGGACTATTACTATCAAAATGCTGAACTTCTAATAACGTATATGTATATTAAATTGATCCAATTTATATTTTATCGATAAAATATTCTTTGCTGATCATGGGACATTAAACTTTACCAAAATTTGCTTTTTATTATCATTAGTACATTTATGACGGTTAAGGGTTTCATATAAGTTTATAAGATAAAGTGAGGATTTCGATTAATTCATAATGTATTGTTTACATTAATTTTTGGTAAATTGTAGTATCATACAATTATCTTATGTTGTTTCTTCTCGATTTTATTATCAATTACAATATTATGTTAAATATAAAGGCACAAACAATGAAAAGTAGTTATCTAATTTCTAGATTCCTACGAGTCTATTACTTGATTCAGTACTATCTTTGATACATAGTCGTCACTTAACGTTAATATAAATCCTTAACGATAGGAATACTCATTATAGCGTTAAACCTAAATCTTTGATGTTGAACTTAAATACGTTCGTTATTCCTAGATATTCACAACCCTATGTAAGAATACGTTCAACGTTAAGATTATTCTTATACATCCAATTCCTAACACGAGGGTAACACAGATAAACGAGGAATGAAATGAAATTACATCTTTTGTATTTTGTTTTATATAATATAATATATAATATATATGTATATGTATATATATATATATATATATATATATATATATATATATATATATATATACTGTATCCTGAAATAATTTCAACAACTATTAAACTTAGTAAATTTTCCTCGTATGCCCTCCGATATTTTGTTGTTATGTACGGATGCTATATTTATACTTTCACATCTATAACATTTCTACTTCAACATCGAACGATCACCAATAGGTTCTACAAATTTCTCCGTATATAAATTCAACATTATAGTCACGGGAATTAGAAATCTCGTATTTGTGCACCATATAATCATTACACATATTGTATCGTTTTCCTCTATGTGTATCAGTACATAATTATTCTACTGATAGTTTGATCCCCAGGATTTAACGGAAATTAGGCCTGACAGTTACAAAATATGTTATAGAGTAGATATAAGAAAAACTTTCTGCGACAAGAAATTCGGATTGTTTGTTGATTCGTTCTTTTTTTTTTTGGAATGTTCAATGCCACAGGATGTTGGAAGACATTACGTACTTAATTCTTTCCCTGTGTGGGCTCGTATTTATATATAAGAAATTTTTTTGTACTTTCACACATGGTTTCTAAAAATGTAAAAATTGAATTTTGAAGTTAACCATTTAGTCATCGTGACATCGTATAAAATTTATTAACAATGAAAATGGATTCATCTTTTACTCTGATAGCACCTAGAAAGAAGTTTCAAATTTTATACAAATCCCTCCTATCTACTAACGATATGAAACAACACGTTTCACAGATACCTTTTCTATGGACTAACTTTACAAAACATCCTCAAACCTTTTTTGAATAATTGTATACAAAGTTGAGCAGTTAAATACACATCTTAAATTAAATGTTTGCGCTGAGACTGATGAATGATTAGGCAAGAACATGATTGTTTCATCTTAAAAAATTAAAATCCTAAAATATTATAAATCGACGATAAATACTAAAACACGTTAGCAATAAATATAGGAAACACGGAACGCCGATTGTATTATTGCTTACTTGTATGATGCGATTATAATTCAAATTATTTACTAGTACGTTAAATATCAATAAAAAAAGTCTTCGAATATTGTAAATTATTTAGCAGAATATTTTGAGGTGTTTAAGGAAACTGTTGAAGAATGAATTCGCCGGGATGGAGCTGGGCTTACGGGAGCTGAAGGGGAAGGGCCGGTAGGTGTTGTTGGTTTGGAACTTCTTCTACTACGTCTCATCGATGAATATGGACTTGTTCCTCTATTCACGCGCTCGTGTGCATAGAGTAATACACCGATATCTCGATTGCCTGCTTCTAACGCGATTTTTAGAGCGGAACTACCATCTATATCAACGATCGATGGATCACAGTCTGGATGCGCAAGTAACAATCGTACGATATCCGTGTGCCCATGTTCCGCGGCACACATTAAAGCTGTACTGCCATCTTCATCTTGAATGTTAACCGCTGCTCCAGCATCCAGAAGTAACTGTGTCATGTCTTTGCGACCATGAGATACTGCCAACATCAAGGCAGTTTGACCATGCTGAAAAATATTACAAATTTTAAGTATACAACAAAAAAGGCACAAAGTAAAATCATACTAAAGTCATTACTTAAAGTACTCACTAATTTTGCTCGAATATTAACATCTGCAAGCTGGAATAACCTGTTAGCCACTGAAGCATGAGTGGAATTTCTGACTTCAGCAAGAGCCGCCAACATCACAGCCGTGTATCCGGCCACATTTGCTTTGTTAATATCGCAAACTTTTGAATCAAGAAGTATAGATACAACATCAAAATTTCCATGAGATACTGCATAATGCATTGCGGTGTTCCCACTTGAGTCGGTCATATTAACAATATACTCCAATAAAGTACTTGAACATTCTTCAAAACAATCTAGATAATCTTCAACTTCTAAGGGATTGGCATTTACTGTACTTGAAACTTTGAACCATTCTTGTTGGATGATATTAATAGCATTTTTCATTTGATGAGAGATATTTTTACTAGGAGATTTTTTAAAGCTGTCGTTAAGAACCTTCATGGCGGCTTGCATCTCTTTCGATGGTTCAACTTTCTTCCTGGGTTTTTCTTGTATAGGTTGGAACAATGCAGATTCTGGAAGTTCGTGTTTTTCTTCACTATCTGCTTGTTTTTCTGTATTATATATTTCTTCTGATTTATCATCTTTTCTTTTCTCTCCTTGCAATTGTTGGATACTATAAAAAATATGGAGAAATGTAAATATAAAAATATATAAAATATAATAAACATATAATATATAATATGTAAAATGTATAAAATATATAATATACGTTTTTTTTTATTGGAGAGGATTAAATAAAATAAAGTGATTAAAAAGAAATCAATTACCCTTTCTCAACGAAACAAGCAGAATTTATTTCGGTGAGTTCGGTATCGTTAACTAAACGGGTAGTGTGTTGTTGTTGCTGCTGTTGCAGCATCGATTTGTTGAGATCGGATACACGATTTACTTATTCACCATAGCGAAATCGCAATGATTTTAAGTGCACTTTTTTCTGTCACTGACCTCTACGACGTTATTTACGATTTGACCTCTGCGCTCTGCTCCGTGAAAATACTTATGACGCATAGGACGCGCAACCATGGAGTTCGAAAAAACCAACAAATCCTTGATATGCACTTGATTGTCACTGACTATACGATAGATTGATTCTCCATGGTGCCAACTTCTTTACTACCTTTTTTACCGAACTACCCTTAATCCGAACTTTCCACCCTATAGATGGCGTACGTAACATTTTCTAGTGCTTATATCGACAGATATCGAACGATCTTATAAGATAATTTTTTGGAAAAATAAATCTTAATATGTAATTCAAATGAATTAATAACGATTACACATTACCAATTTCTAATCTACATAAGGTTTTAAGTATCTAAATAATAAGATTTACCATCGTGTTTCATTGAGAAGAGTAATTAACATAATTGACGAGAGAAAAATAATGGGGATATTATCCTTAAACGAGTTACTAACCGATTGTCATATTGTTCCTTGTTATCGGAATCATATCTAATCACACCTGCAGGTATCTTCGTATACGTATCCTGTCGTTTAAATTGTCTTCTGTAATCTATCGTATTGTTCAACGGTATTTGAGACGGCCTCGGTATCCTCGAGACGAGATTCGTGTTCTGGTGATTCATATTATTTTCCGCGTTGTTGACAATTTGTTTCGCCAAATTCTTTATAGTCTCCTTACAATTATCGCAATAATTAGCAGCGCATGAGATAGAAATGTGTGGTTTGATCGACTCTCCGACCGAGACGTCTGTGAATTTCTTTTTTATCGGCGAAGTACCAAACTCTCGTTTTCTAGGCGCTAGACCGGAAGTGTCGGTACTCTTTACCGTGGTTTGCACTAAATCATCTACCATAACGCTAACAGATTTTGTAGTTTTTCTTTTTAGCTGAGTATCGCCGTAATTAAACGAATGACTTCTCGAGTTCATCGAATGTAAAGATAACGACTGAGTAGCAACTGGATCGGGACCAACAGCGATGGTCCTCGTTGCAGGACCAGTTCTAACCTCGATTCCAATTTCACACACTCTCGGTTTTACCATGACTCCTACGTTCGTTCTCATTTTAAATGATTCCGCCACCTGTATGTACTGATCCTTCTTCTCGACTATTTTTACCGGATCTGGGGTACACTGACAACCCCTAGACACTGTATCTTTAATTAAAGTACTCTTATAAATCCTGAGAGCATCATCCACGATAACCGCGACATCTTCTTTCGTTAAAACGTCTTTCATGTTTAACCCTGTCGATGTTCCACACGATCTTTTCTTCGCTTCTTTCTTTATTTCAGGTGCTATATCCTCGATCATAAATCGACTGTATACAAGATTCTTTAACTTGTTCCTCGTGTTAACTGCAACATCGCGAAATTTCTTTTCATCTCTGGCCAATTTCGGGCTGGTAGGTGGTATCGTTTCTATCTGAAGTGGGCTCCTCTTCAAACGATTCCTCATTTTTGCCTCCGACATTATGTCTTCGTACAGTCGTCGGTTACGTGTTAAAGTCGATCTCCAACTGTCGTGGGAATCGCTCGAGTAGAGCTTATCAAGGCTCGACGACGTTCGATCGTCGGACAATGTGCTCTGGT